TACGCGCTCGAGGCAGAGGCTTTAACTCCGATTTCTGCACGGAATTGTTTCTCTCCCTGATTGATGCTCTCAAGTTTCTTTATAGCTATAATCCTTCCATCTGGCAAAGTCTTTTTGAAAACATAACCAAAGCCTAATTTTCCCAGTTTTTCAGAGAATTTCTTGGTTTCCTTCACTAAGTCTCTATATCCAAAAATGACGAGTGAACCTGATTCTAGTTCTGTACTGATACTTGTTCGCCTCCTCGCTTTCACGATTATTAACATGATAAGGCCTAAAAGGAGTAGTCCTGCAGAAACCGCAATTGCAACAACCATCACTGACTTCTTATTTGCGGGACTAATTGCACTAGGAAATTCAGAAGACGCCAGCTTGATATACAGAGTTTTCCCGGTGGTATTATCATCTTGCCCAAGTAGTTGCAGATTCAAGAGATATCCAATCCAAATCGAGCACTGATTGTTCTCAAAAGCATAAGCTGTATAAGAGCAAAATTCTAGGCCGCTGAAAACCATTTTATTTTGTTCAGGACCTTCAGGTAAATTTGAGTAGCGACTTTCTAGAAATCGATCCCCCCTTCCGATACCAACACTAGCATTTACACACCTTTCAGAATAATGCTGCTTGTTGCAGTTCTGTTCGGAGGATGGCTGAAACCCCGTCAGACAATCACAAGCCACATAGCTATTGTCATTGCAGCTGCTAAAAGCACCACAAAGAGCATAAACCCGGCATTGTTGTCTCCGATTCCACCAATATAGATTCCACTGCTGTTGGGAAATCATGCTAAGTAACACAGGAAATAAACGAACAGTAAAGAAAATAAAGAACACAAAATTCAACGAGGTTCGGTAAGGTGCCTATATCCTCAGAAGCGACGAGCGGCTGTTTTATTATTGTTAGCAATAATTGATAATAATTAGGTTATAATTACATCATATAAAAGTAACCTGGTACAATTACCAAAATAACCCCGTACCATGACAATTGTTTAATCTGCCCCGAATAATCCATAATGAATCGAGATATAATCTCAGAATCATTGAGGTAATAAGTAATATAACTCACGTTCTCGTCCGAATGAAAGCTGAAATAGTAGAGATTCATGAAATGGAAGAGATAATTCAATCGCATTTCCGGAACGTCTCTGAAAGTCCTCGACTGTTCATCCCAAGGTCCACTCGACCAGTACTGCCTGATCCCGTTCCACCGAATAATAATTGAATTGGTTCCAGCGGGATCTAGCTCGAGAGAGAAGAGACTCGGAGTAGGATCTTCTGAACTTTTCCATGACGTAAGAAGCTGGCTTCGATTGGTTCGTTTATTAAAGCTAAGCTTGCCACCAGGAAGCCATGTGCGCGCGGGATGATCTAAACTTTGCCACAACAGTGCCGATAAATTTATACACCATCTCTCAAAACAAGATTCCCATCATCTTCAAGGACTGCAACTACATAACTTGAGTTGCTCGAGCTAATATTTATGGACCAAATTTCTACTTGGGATCCGTTGACCAAAACTAAGTTACCATCAGATATTTTCAGTTCTGAAAAGTGTATATCACGCACTGGTGTCTCTCTGTTGGCTACCCAAACTGGGGTTTGCTCGGAGATCTTACCATACGAGATGCCTATGTAGTAGTTGGAAGGGTTACCTGGTGCGAAGAAGCCCAACACAAAGTTTCCACCCGATGAAACAATGGTTTGATTACCGGTAAGAGACTGCTTTACGGAGATGGTGTCTACACCAAAGGAGAGTCGGCAGTTGAAAAACCAAGTAAAGAGTAATACAGGAAGTTTTTCAGCCATGGATTCTTCATGCTGACCATTGCTGTAAGCCTGTCTGAGGATTCCTTTCCTGGCAAGGGAAAACAACACAGATATATTCCAAAGCACGACGAAAAGGCTGCTTAAAATAGGAGAAGAAGAAGAAGAACACGTCACAGCTTGCTAAAACAGAACATGTCTAAGGAAGTGAACGGCTGCCATTGGGGTTAGTTTCGTTGTTGCATCTTAATCGAAGATCGTTGAGAGGACGAGTATAGCGTTCGGTCGAAATCATTAAATAAAAAATGAAGGAGTCAACTAAAAACAACAGGGTAGGCCTACTCAAAATAATAATAATAACAGGGTAAGCTTTCTTGGTCAATCGGTAATTGATTTTTTTAGTGAGCTGATGTTCAAAGAGCAATGCCATTTTAAGTATAACTCGCGGTAGCCCGGTAAAGGAACTGAAATAATACAATCAGGTTTCGTTTACGTTCGTTCGTTTAGTTTTAACTGAATAAATAAACTAACGCAAACAACTACAAGAACAAATATTTTTTGCTCATATTCGTTTATTAACGAATATAGTTTATTCATGTTCGTTTGTTAAAATGATAAACGATTACAAACAAACGAATATAAAACTAAATGTATTTATATTTGAGAAGAGTTTACTCTTTCTAAATAATTTTAGGATTTATAATTTTATTTAATTGATTTGAGTATTTTTTATTAGGTTTAAAATTAATTGGGTTTTAAAATAAGGTAAATTGTGCATTTAGTACCTAAACTATTAGTTTTGATCCATTTTAGTACCTAATTTTTCAATTTTTTTAAAATCATACATAATGTTTAGTTTTTGTTTCATTTTAGTACCTAAAATTTCATTTTTTTCAAAAAATAAAATTAAAATTTGAATAGGGGTACTAAAATGAAACAAAAACTAAATTTTAGATATGATTTTGAAAAAATTAGAAGTTTAGGTACTAAAATGAACCAAACTAATAGTTTATGTACTAAAAGCATAATTTACGCTTTAAAATATTGGTGAGTTTAATGTTAAAGTTTAGTAGCTCTTAATATTTTAAACGAATCCGAAGATTGAACTAGATACAAACAAACGATCATAAGCGAACATATTATCAAATGTTTAAGAATGTAAATGAATGAACGAGCTTTTTGCTTGTGTTCATTTATTTAATTAAACGAATATAAAATACTGTTCATGTTTGGTCGTTTAATAAATAAACAAATTTTTCGTCAAACGATTCACGAACGATACACTAAATGTTTGGTTTGTTTACAAACCTTGCAGTCATCCTCATTTAATAATAAACAAAATAGTGTATTATTATTATTTTGGGTAACGTACAAAAATGATCCTTTTACTATAAGATATTACTTTGTTGATTTTTTTATTATTAAAAATTACAAAATGATCCTCTGATTATGGGGAGTTGCTTTGTTGAGTCACTTGACTATTAAAAGTTACAAAATGGTCACCCGACTATTCATTATGTTCCAAGCTCGCCATTTTTCGTTAAAAATTAATGGTCATCTGAGTTGAACGTTAACATGCCGACTGAGATACGACGAAGGACTCAACAAAGTAATTCCCTATAGTCGGAGGATAATTTTATAACTTTTAATAGTTGTGAGACTAAATAAAGTAATATCATATAGTCAGGGGACCATCTGTGTACTTTACCCTATTATTTTATATTAATCTATGGCAATTACAAGTGATAGTATATGTTCTAAAGACTTTAAACCATTTTACAATGAACACTCGAATACTTTGTAGTCGTGGTCGAATTCAAAATCATTAGGTACAACAACCATCCTTTAACTATTAACTACCAAACTTACAATTAAGTCTATTAGGTATAATTTACCGTAACTTTTATTAAAAAAAAGTTATAGAAAACATTTTTTAATAGTCCGAGTGATTATAATACAGAATATGTTCGCATTTTTTCTTAATCATTGACAACGCGCTCACGTCATGTTCATGCAGCTGCTCGAATTAAGAATCTTTAAAAATAAAATTAATATTGTTTTCTTTTATTACGGATATCACTTAATAAGCTCGAAAAATATTAAAATTATTTGAAGAAAACAATTTCAAAGAATTATATGTTTGTAATAAGATATTTAACGAATCAAATGTATGAATTAATACCACTTGTGCAATAGGGTTGCGTGGAAGCGTTTGAGGGTCGAAAGAGGATGATTTCGTGGTCCAATCCCAACATTAAATTGGGGATTGCAAACCCTTTTAATAAACTTATGGAGGCATCAACTGCTTTATTCAATCCATTGGCGCTTCAGTTTTGTCGCCAATGTCACTGCTGACGCTAATCTTAATATATAAGGTGACGCATCCTGCAACTCTTTAAAATTCATAATTGGGGTAAACTGGTTTTTGGTAGTTGTAGTTAATAATTATTTTCAAAACAGTCCTTACACATTTTTACCCGCGTTAATCTCTGAATTTAGATTTTTTTTGTCATTTTTATTACAAGACACTATAACGTTCGGAAAAAAAATGATCATCCAACTCAGTTGGTAGAGCACAAGGTTTTTAACCTTGAGGTCGTGGGATCGAGTCTCATGGAGGGCATTTCATAATTTGGAGGTCTTCTACGGAAGTTGCTTTCAACCTAGTGCTGGGAACAACCTACTATCTTACCTCCCCTTACCCCATTATATATGGGGATAAGGGACAACCATTTACACTATAACATTCGAAGTATCACATCGCTAAAGGATCAAAACGAAAAAAAAATCAAATTCAGGAATTAACGGCCACTAAATAAAGTTTAGCAACCAAATTTGGAAAAAAGATGCCTAATTTGAGGATTAAAAGTCAATAAATAATTTACGCACATCATAAAAATGTTTCGAGTTAAATTTATAACAGAACTAAGTTAAATTAACAAAATATATGAACGTTGAAGGCTAAATTTATTATTATATCAATTAAAATTATATAAAAATAAGAAAATTTTTAATTTCATATTTAATTATCCTTGAGTCCTCTCTTGTGAAACTGATAGGGATTAAATTGGTCCTTTTCCATAGGACCAATTTGACTAATCTTGAAACTATGAGAGACCTAAAATGCCATTTTACATTATTTTTTTAAAAAAAGACAAAGGTTGTTAGCAGAAACACGAGAGCGAAAAAAGTTGGGTATGAACATAGTTTACATAAGAGGCGAATTAGCGTTACTCGTGTCAGCATATCTGAGAGTTGGCCGATATTTATCTGATTTTCACTTTGCCGAAGCTCAAAGAGGTCAATCGATTCTTCAGTTTCACAGAAAATCTTTTCTTCCGATGGATCCGCAACACCACCAGCAATCGGAACCGGAGCTCCAGGTTTCGTCCTTGGATCCGCTCCGTATCCAACCCACTTCTCCTCGTGTCCCTTTGACCACCCCAGTCTCCGGTTCCCAGCGCCGCGTCGCCATCGCCGTCGACTTAAGCGACGAGAGTGCTTACGCCGTTCGATGGGCCGTTCAGAACTACCTTCATCCGGGAGACTCGGTCGTTCTCCTCCACGTCCGTCCGACATCCGTCCTTTACGGTGCCGACTGGGGCTCCATCAAACTCCAAATCAACCCTAACTCCACGAAGAATCACGAAAGCGCCACGGCCTTCAGGGGCGAGCAACCCGAAGCGGAGTCGCAGCAGAAGCTCGAGAACGATTTCGACGTCTTCACGACGACGAAGGCGAACACGCTGGCGCAGCCGTTAGTGGATGCTCAGGTTCCGTTTAAAATCCACATAGTGAAAGACCATGACATGAAAGAGAGGTTGTGTTTGGAAGTTGAGAGGTTAGGTTTGAGTGCGGTGATCATGGGGAGCAGAGGATTCGGAGCCACCAGGAGACCCAACAAAGGAAGGCTAGGAAGCGTTAGCGACTATTGCGTCCAACACTGCATTTGTCCGGTGGTGGTGGTCCGGTACCCAGAGGAGGAAGAGAACGGGGTAGCGAAGAAGAGCATTGTTGAAGAAGATGTAGAGCTGCAGCCTGTGCCTGAAGAGGAACCAGAGTACCATGATGCAGAAGAAGAGCATACTGGGTTTTCAAATTGGTGATTGATTTTGATTTTGTTAAATGGTAATTTAGTTTTTGGCTCTATGAACATGATGAAATCCTTGTTAAAAGTTCAAAACACGATAAGCTAAAGTCAGGATAGAATATAATTATCAGTTTATGACTAATGGGAAGCAAAAACTAAGAAGTGGAAGCCTGAATTGAGCTTTTCCTTTATCGTCGAGGGCTGTACTAAATTCAGTGCATGAAGTGACCGCATAGTAATTTAGGGTTTAGGCCTTACATGATGTTTTTGGTGTTACAATAGTTCTTAGAGCTGTAGAAACACGCTAGAGCTTAGTATCTATAAGAACTTTTATTCTTAAACGATTATGTATTTACTATTAAAGGTCTATTTCATTGGTTAATATTTCTTGTTTGCAGATGCTTAATATGACTCAGAGCAACGACGAATGCCCTCTTATTCAGGTAACTTAACATGGCTCCAAGCTTTAATCTGTTCGATGCCCTTTTTATGATTCTTTCTTTCCCTTCACCCCTTTTAATTGCTTCTTCATGGGAGCAGTGACCGAACTCTTCGTAACTAGTGTAAAAACACTATTAATCATGTAATTTAGTGCATTACTTGCAGTTTTCAAACTTATAGTTTGGATTTCCACCGATTAACCTCTTCTGCTTGGTATGAAGGATGAAAACGAGGGAAATGGGTGAGGATGGAAAAGGTCATAATCTATTGGTTAAGCTATGAAGTAAGAAAGTGGTTACAAATCGATTAATAAATTTTTCATCCTTACTCATTTCCGTACATACCAAGCAAAGCCTAAGTTTGGGTTTTTTACTTTTGAATTACTGGATGTAGATGATTGATTACTGATATGGTCCCTGCACTAATATTGCAGCACCAAAGGATGAAAACCAATCCGAAATTTGAGGACTATGGTGGCAAAAGAAGTGTGAAAATGTTGTGCAGTGATGATCTTTATGCTTTGTATAGATGGATAGTAATAGGGCTCTTGGTTTTCGGTGTACTTCCTGTTAGTTGCTTTGTTTCGACACTTAACTGTTCAATGCCTATGTATATGGTTTGCTGCACTCGGTTTCTCTCTGTTTCTTAGTAATAAGCATTTGCCTTTCCACAGCATGTTAACAATATCAAAGCCGAATCGACATAGTTTTGGCATTCTTAGTTATGTTGCATAATTGTGGAGCAAGTGACCACACACAGCTGGAACTTATGAATTTAACAAGAACAGGAAAGGACGATACAGAACATTATCTGCTTTCACGCATACATTATATAAGAAACTTATTAACGGAAGAACTGTAAGAAACTTCCATCCCATTATGGCAAATCTATTCTAAAAATGTCTGGTCACGCCAAATATCTTGAGTGACAATTTATTGCAGTTGCAACAAACAAAACTCGAATACAAAATAGTCTAAAACCACACAGCATAGCCAAGTACCTGATTTCACAGTTGCCCCAGACTTCCCTCGCTTTGGGTCCTTCGCATAGAAGCCTCCAGTTTAAAGTTCAGAAGTGCGCTACCAAGATCTATGTAATGATTCTGATGATTGGTAATCGTCTTCTTTCCACTAGGAAGAGGGTGGCGCCCGTGTCTGCCTCTGGACTGCATTGGGGATCCAGTGGCTTGACTTCTGTGGGATGACAAGGATGCACGGGCAGTGCCATGGTTATTCTTCCTTGTACCCCTGTGTTCTGGTCTATGGCCTCGATCAAATTGATGACTACTGATGCCTAGCCTTACCGATCGTTCTGCAGCATCCTTCACTTTAATAGCCTTTCGATTAAAGTAAATCAAATTCGGAAGAAGGCCTTGCAAATGCTTCTTCAGACATTCATCTCCTACATTCTTCTGTGCCGGGTTACCTTCCAAGCTGATGGCTTGCAAAGACTTATAGTTTGATGCGAGTTGGCCGAGACATTTGGCAGTAGAGATTTTGTTGAAACGTAAATCCAAAACTGTCAATTTTAAGAGACGGTGAAGACCCTCTACCTCGCTTATCTTGTTTCCAGCCAAGTATAACTCTTTAAGAGAGGAACAAGAAGCCAAACCTACAATGAATTATGTGACAGAGAGTACGTATACGATATCAAAAATATTGGAAGGTAAAGAGTATAGCAAAAGAAAAATAGAATAGCTAACAAGTTGCAGTTTGCCTTGCATACCATGACCAATTCTAAATATCCGGTTATAACTTAGATTCAGCACACGAAGTCGAGTAAGTTCACGTAAACCCTCGATGGTGGATATATTGTTCCTCGACAGATCCAACATGTGAAGTCCTCGAGGAAGAGCACCAGCAGTGATCCTTGCTGTAGTAGAAACAGAGATTGAGAAAGTATGCTTATGCGAAAGAATAGTTCCATGTACTCCTAATTATAAGACTTCAAAAGATGTCAAAATAGAAGATAAATACAGTACTAAAAATATTTGCAGTTGAAGATACTTGCCTATTGCATTTCCGGATAGATTAAGCACCTTCAAGCTGACAAATCCACTAAGAAATGGTATAACAACCAAGCTATGATTTGCCAGTTGAGCGGTGGTTGCCGAGGCACTCAAAGAAGATATGTATCTTTTAGCAGCTTCCATCTCAGGACTTGCCTTAACATCCACCTTTGCAGCACTTAAACCATTTGAGACAGCAGGTTCCACTTTCACCTGATCATCGGGGTGGGATATTTCAGATACGTCTTTGGATGGCTCTACATGTTGAAGATCATTTACCCAATCCTCAATTCGCTTAATCTTAAAATCCTTGCCAGTCGATTCATTGTGATTCGGAACCTGCAGTTCTTGCTGGATTTTCACCTCATCTGAAACTGGCACTATCCAGTCTTTTGCTGATGCAGAACAACTATAAGATTCATATCCCTCATAAGAGCTTTCAAAGTTAGTTTTATGACTCTTATGCTTGCCATCATCTCTTTCTTGTTCTCGCATTGCCTCTGTATCAACATCATGAATTAAAATCTCCTTTCTTCTCATGCTGAGAACATGTACATCCTCAGAGGATCTAGTACGATGGGTCAAATATTTTGGAGAAAGTACTCCAGAAATGAGTGTCGATGCAGCAATGTTTGGCATTGAACATGATTTTACAATCACATGTGCATCATTGGGTGTGTGGTAACCCGAGCCATTTTCATGCTCATAAAGCAAAGGTAAATTAGAGAAATCAGGGTAATCCTTTTCTGAAAGCTGAAGGTCTCCTATAGAGAAATCCGGCTCAATATTGACATGGTTAGAGCTTGCTTGAACAGAATCTGAGCACGGAGCATTTTGACTCACTACTGTATGTTTTCTGCCATCTTCAACCAACCCATGGTCATGGGAATCAGAAGAAAATCCCTGATCAGTCTCATCATCCGTGTCAACTTGTTGAGGAACTCTTCCTTCCAGGCAAAGTCCACTTCCTAGGGACAGACTCTTCTTAATATTGTGTAGATTCTGAAGGGCCCGGGAACCACTATCAAGATTGGTTTTGTCCTTCATTTCAAATGACTTCAAGCTATGGTAAATAGAAGAAGAATCTGTAACAGGTTTGACACGGTCATGACTCTCGGCATTCATTTCTACCTCTGGCAAGAATGACTCCATGTTTGTAGCTTTAATCGTATTCTTAGTGGCTTGAACTTGAGAAAAATCTTCTGAAGTCGTATGCATAGCTTCAACAGATGGCTGAACTGTTTTCTGATGGTCAAGTGGATACTCGAGTCAGGAAACACTACAGTATACAACCCAAATTTAACTGAAGTTTTCAAAAACCAGACACAAATCGCTGACTTACCTTTGGTTTCTGGCTTCCGATGTGAGCATTGAAGCATGAAAATCTAACCATCGTGGTGATGCAGATTAGCACTACATCCACACAAAACCTACCTTTCGTGTTACATAGAAAGCTATAAGCTTAAAACTACTGTAATCATTAACGTTCAAAATCTGGAGGCAAGCACCTAATTCTACTACTGTAAAAAAAGTGGCAAATTGTAATCGAACTTCAAGGTATTTTAACAACTACTGACATTAGCCATAATCAAGCGAAAGACCCTCCGAAACACGTCGCAGTCTCCAGATATGGGACGACCTTGATCTCCTTAAGCAAAGCAGAATCAGCTCTTTTTTGTCCCCCCACACCCACCTCGAGGTGCGAGAAAATTTCAGTTTCGTTGCAGCGGCCAGAGTGAACAAGAATCTTCAACAACTAGGAAAACAGAATCTCTAACAAGCATAAGAGACACTAGCCTGCCTGACAATAATAATGGAAGAGGATCACATAATCTACAAAGTAGATGTCGAAGCAGAAGAGTTCAGGCCAAGTAACGACGATAACGAAGACAACATGAAAATGTCGGATTGTTAGTCTCTAGATAGAAGAATCACAACATATATTTTAACAATCAAAACAGAATAGACAATCAGATTACAATGCTTCTTTGTCAGAAGGATTTGGAGAAAAACAAAAGGAAACTTCAAAATTCTTGTTACAAGGGCAAGTTGTAAACCACATAATCTCCAAATTCTTCTTTGTCAGATGGTATTCCTTGAATCTAGCAAGATTCCACTTTTATTCAATATATTCATTCAATGAAATCAAACATCCTCAAACAAATCAATTACAAATCCAGAACAAAATCTTGAGGTAAAGGAAAAAGAGATAAATCAACCTATGAAGGAGAAGACCATTCAACCGAATTGCACACCAAATACGACCAGAACCAATGGTCAAACAATGAACAGATAATTAGATTTCATATCGAACATATGAACACAACCCAATCAGCTACGTTTTAGGCTCAAAACAAAAATGCCAATGGAAACTAATCTAATGAAAATAAAAATAACTTAATCCCATCATTCGTTTGCCCTCATTCGAAGCAAACACGAACCCATAAAAAAGGCGGGTGATTCAGAACGAACAAAGATCCACATATAATACCCAGAATGAAAACAGGGTTATCTCATGGAACACGAAAGAACATTCAAAAACCAACCATTCATGGAAGCACACAAGAAGGAAAACCACCCAAATCGAATGAAAAGAAGAAGAAAGACCCATTAGATTATTCGTCTTGAAAGACTATTAACCCAAAAAAAAAAAGGAAAGAAGAAAGAACAACAATCTTACCTCTCAATAGTCAGATTATTTCAAGCAAAGAACTCTTCTTTTTTCCCCTTAAAAACGTGAGAGGCTGATTGCATCAACTAGAAAGATAGATAGAAAAAATAACAAAAATGAATAACAAGCACGTTGCTTCCTGTTTATCAGTTTTTGTATTTCTCAGCTATAAATTTGTGAAACCACGTACAGTTTTGTTTCCATTGAATGAACGGCGTAAGGCTAAGATATAATGCTAACCCTAAGCTTTTGCACTGATTTTAATAACACATATCAATGGCCTTGATTTTGCTCTCTCTCTATTTATTTATTTTTAACAGCCACAATTGAAAGGATGTGAGAGAGGAAGAAAGCGAAGGAAAGAACGGATCTTTGTCTTTTCGGCAGCTGGAATGAAGGGGAAGCTAAGACGGCTCTTTCGTTAAAAATCTAAAAATAAATACAAAAAAATGGAAATTGTCTCTCTTTGGAATTCAACACAACAGAAATGCCCCACAGGTGAATACTATAGTTATAGATATTTTAATTACATAAATTTCAATTGTATTCCATATTCTTATTTTATATGGTTAATTTTTATTCATTGAATAATTTTAAATTATTATAAAAATGTAATTTTATATTATTTAATTAGATCATATCTCTCTTATTTTTTACTATATTATAAAGATATTGAATTATATGTTGCAACAATAATTATGTTAACATTCCGACAGGTTGGTTAAGTGGTAAGCAGTTTGATATTGTTTTAGGTTCGAGTTCGTGTGTATGCAAAAAATTCCTGTTGGGATACTCACCCACCAAACCCAAGTGTGTACAACCCAGATCGATACAGATTAATTAAAGCGAAGCCTTGAGTGTTACAATTGTGTATAAAGCAACTATCAAACACTAGTTAATATCCTTACTGTAGTAATAAATTTGAAATTGATGGACAACTTTTTTAA